ACTGCCCACCCTGAGGGACTGGCTTGCTTTCTTTCACTGTCACTGAGCTCCTTGCTGTCAGGGGAAGGATGCATAAAGTAAGCTGTTGATTGTGAGCAACTCATTCCTCCTTTTCTGAGTAATGAGCCTGATTTGTGGTGTCCATTGTAACCAGATGGACTCATGTTTCAAACATATAAAATCCCATGTAAACCCTGAAAATTCAGACTTTAAGATCTTTGTAAATCTAGCATCCCAAATTAATGTCAATTTTGAATGAATATGGCTTTGTATTTCTCCCTCAGTTCATCAGGTATGAAGATAATAAAACCACCTGATTCAACAGGGAAATTACTAATGAATAATTCATTAATACCTGTGGCACTCAAATACTATCACGAGCAGAACTGAGAAAAGGCTTTGAGGAAGGGCTTTGTCCCCTGTTGAAAGCTGTGAATGAGCCAGAGCCAGAGAGGCTGAGGAAAAACTGGGGGATAGGAGCAATGGTAGTCGGCGTGAGCAGAGGGAAAACACTGCCTGTCATTGTGGTCCCTCAGTCTGGAAACCTTCTCCCTGGTCCCTCTGAGGAGAGAAGGCCTGGGGGTACTAGTCTTGGGGTGCTTCATGATAGGACTGGAAGGATGCTGAGGAACAATCATGCCCTGGTGCCCAGGAATGGACCAGATGGGGCTAAAAGGGCCATCTTCACAGCACCCCGTCCTGTAATTCCCTCCTAGAAAGGAACACAGGGCTGAAGAGGCAAACGGCCCTCCTGAAGGGAATGTGGTATTAAGAAAAGGAATTCCACCGAGCTCTGGCTCCACTATGTGTGCCAAGTTTACAATGTCAGCTAACTCATCTGCCACCATATTGCTGGCCTCCATCACTCCTGCTCCTTGTCCACCGTACACACAGGTGTTAGACTGAGAGCAGTCTGCTTGTGCTATCTTCCTAAATGCAACTGGCCTGCAAGGGAAGGAAGAGCATATGTTAACTATTAAGTAGTCTATAGCCATTAAGCACTTCTGAGAAATTTCAGCTTGGGTGTAAAAACTTACCAAACTGCTAATCAGTGGATTATCTGCCAAACAGTAGTTTACATCAACAGAGTAGATTATACGCTTGTGTGCACAGTGTGAGGCAAAATCATCCCCACAGCTCTTCTCCTCAGATGTGCTCCCTCCCTCTGTTTCTGATCCCCACATAGACAGTTTTCATAACCCTCAACACTCTCTGTCTTTTCCCTTAGTGCCTTGAGGTGGTAAGTTACTTAAGGGTTTAATTTTAAATATTGACACTGCAAAAAGGTTGGGGTTTTCTGAGTGGCGACTCATGCAAAAAAAGAACAGAGTGGTTTGGTTGTAATGGGGTGGTTCTCCAGCTGTTGGACAATTCAAAGCATCTGACATACTTCGTATGGCACACTGGTAATATGAGCTCCCTCTATCCCACAGAAGTCTGTTACTTATCAAAGAGATCGAGGTGCTCTAAGTGATGGGAATAATCTGGAGGATTGGATGGAGGTAATCACATCCTCAGGTGATCCAAGTATCTGAACCCAGGTGACTGACTTTTTCCACTATATATCACCAGAAACATCAGGACATGGATCTGCAAGGGTATCATCTTGACTGTGTTAGCTCTTGGTGGACAGCCTAGATCAGGTCAAGCTACTACTTTGCACCAGGTCAGAAGTAATCTGTTTGGGAGGAAAGTATGCTTTGCAATAACCTGAGTGCTAACATTTGATCAAGAAAGTGCCACAGCAATGGGGTTTTACACCAGAAAGCTCCTATTTACTGAAACCCTGAGTGTGTAGCAATAAGAGCTGACTTCAGTGAACAGGAAAAAAAATATATGTGTAAGTGTATACATTTGTAGGGAAAGAAATGTTCCCAGATTGTCAAAAACATGATGAAATATTTGGGGCTTTCAGTTTGCAGCAGCATTCCATTCTTGAAATGTTAGTTAATTCATACATAGAAGAAAAAACACCAACAACCCATGAAAGCTCTAAAGGTTGAAGAGGGTGTACAAATAAAGGTCTGTAGCCTTGGAGCTGGTGGAGAGGCATGCTTGCTGCACAAAAGCCAGGCTGTCTGGCAGGGAAACGATATCTCCCACCTCCTCCTCAGAGTGTCAGGGCAGATGCTCAGCCCCAAAGAGGCAGCCAGCTGCTGGCCAAGGCCTTGTCCTGGGCAACTTTCTTCCAATGGGCCAATTGGCACGAAAAGGACACGTTGCCACTGGGCAAAGGGAAAGATGCTGTGGCTTCCTTCCCTGCTGCTTTCCCCTCTGGAGTCACAGCTGGATACATCCCTCTCCTGCTCAGGCTGAGGGGAGGAGAGAGGGGAAACATGCCGGCAGGGAGGGCTGGGCGATAGCAGCCTGTTTGTAACCCTCGATAAATGCCACGGTGCAACCAGCGTGAAATGAAGAAATATTGCTTCTGGTAAATATTTATTTTATATCAGAAATTAGCATACCAAATGTAATTAAAAACAACTTTATGTGCACATCCCTCCCCCCTGAGTCTGTCAAATGACATCTTAGAATAACTAGTCATAAAGAATGTAGCCTAATTAGCAAGCATCCCAGCCTACTGTTGCTGTTTGATTATTACCCTACAATGAGCTGCTGAAATTAGGATTTCATTCCTCCTCTCTGCCCTCCTCCAGCCAAAGCCAGCGTTGTCTGTTTTTCATCCTATCCACTTCTATTTTACCTTTCTCCTGGTGAATATGGGAGCACCTACATACCGGAGCCAGCCTCGAAATCCCTCGCTTTGCTGAGCTGGGTATGTGAGTGACACCTGTCAGCAGAGGCACCCCTGTCACACAGGGCAGTTTTTGGATGGCAGGCACTGGGATTTCACCTGTGCTCCTCAACTCCTTGTCCAGGCACCCAGGAGCTTGGCTGAGGCATGAAGAGTGAAGAGACGAGGGCTGGGATGAGGGAAGACAGGAGAGACGTACAGAGGGGACCAATTAGAAAGGTCTTAAAACAAACAGGCAAGTGGTTAATCCCAGTCTGGTGTGCAGCTGCTTAATTGCTCATCCCGGGGCTGCTTAGGAGTGCTGGCATGCTCTGAGCCCGATGCCTCCGTACACCAGGGCGTGTGATATAAAACAGGTTTTAAAGGGGCTTACAAGTCTTACATCCATCAGAAATGACCCATCAGTGGTAGGAAAAAAAAAAAGAGAAAGGACCAGATGGTGCTTTGTGAAAGCCTTTCTCCTCTTGTTGCTAGCGAAAAACCAAAGCCCTGCACAGGCTTTTACTGAGCCTGGGGAGAGGGGCTGCTGGCTGCTGGGAGCCCAAGGTTTGGGGACATGAGTGGTTCATTTTCTCCTCCTGAGACTTTGGACTATTCCCCTGTGAGCCCTGCTGCTCGTGCTCGTGTGCAGCCCTGTCTGGCCCTGGACCCTTCCTTGCAGATCCATCCCCTCCAGGAAGCAACCACGGGCTCCCAGGGGCAGGACAGTCCCTGGGGAAGGTCCTCAGGAGACCTAGCAGGGACTCAGCGCCTGCCTCAGGCATCTCCAGTCTACCTGTCTCTGCCCAAATGAGCCCCTTGCTCCCCTTCTCCCTAGGGGAGAGGACAAGGTGCTTTTAGGACCTGATTTGTCTGACTTATTTTAGACATTGACTTCAGTATGAGACAAATTACGTCATGGAAGAGTCTGTTTTCTTCATTGACTAAACAGAGACCTGAGGGTGACTTGCTTAGGTTAAAAAAAGCCCAGTGAAATGAATCCCGTTCTGAGATCTTGTTTTCCCACAAATAGAGGCTAACCAAGACAAAGCAGAGGAGAGGGACAGCTAGTATTAAAGAACAACAGAATTAACTATAATGGGAAGCATTTCCCAAGAGGCTTTTCAAAAGAAGCTTTTCATCAACACACAAGAGAGACATAGGCTTTGTCTGGCTTTGTCTGGGATGCTTTAGCAAGAGGAATGAGGACATGGGGAGCCAAGATTTTGGAGAGAGCAACAGCCAAATGGGTCACACTGGAACTGAGTTCCCTGGAAATTCAGGAGTGGCGCTGAGGCATCCTCAGCTCCATTGGCTCACTGGTGGTTTTGATAACTTGGTTGGGAGGGGGAGGTGTAAGGGAACCAGGGGCTTTGGGGAGAAACCTTGTGCAAGTCTGGGAAGGCCCACGGGGCACCTATTCAAGCCACCCCACATCAATAAGGACAGAAGAAGAGCTTTGTCCTACTCACCCCTTCCATCCCACCTGGGACAGAGACCTCAGATCCCAGCATGGGTCACTTGCTGGTGGTGCACTGGCAGACTGGGAGGCAGCTCAATGGGAGTTGGAGACAGAGGCTGTGATGATTTTGCTGGGACTGTAAATGAGGAGGGGCTTTGAGCAGATATGCTGCAGTAGGGGCTGTGACCCTCCTCATTGCCTGCCAATGCTGGGTCTTGTTTTGTTTGAAACAAACTTTGGAAGTTTGAAACTAGGTTTGGTGTCCCCATAGAGGGTTCCCCAGGCAGACCCTGCCCTGCCTGGGGCACACTGGGGCTGTTGCATGATTCCAGCCTTGAGACTAGCTCTGAGGCTTGGTTCTGAAGGACTGTAGGTGCCACGAGGAACATGAAAAGCACTGTGATGCTGGTGGACTGAGACATGTTGGCAGCCAGAAGGAGGGTGGAGGGCGTGAAGAGAGGTGAAGGAAACCGGTTGGCTTCAAAAAGCCTTCCTGAGACCCTGCAGTAGCCTCTGTCCCTGTGCTGGCAATGCTCCCAACTTTATGGAGACTTCCTCCACTTCTCAGAGAGGATCCCCATGCTGACATTGCAAATGCAGCAGCCCCAGGCACTGGTTTCCTAATTGCTGTGCATGGCTGGGTCCTCTTGGGGATCCAGCAAGGAGGGTTATTGAAGATATAGAAGGCTGGTGTTTCATTTAAGTCATTAGAGAGCTCCTCAGAGAGCTGGAAGGGAGACAAAATGAGAGAGATGGAGGGGGAGAGGGAGGGTGAGGCAGCAGGAGAGGAGGGGAGCGAGAAGACGAGGAGGGAGTGAAGGAAGATACGGGTGAAACAGAATGGAAATATGGTGAAAGTATCTGGAAGGAAGGAAAAGAGAAAGGGAGAAGAGAGGGAAGGGAAAGTGGGTGAGGGAGATGGGGGGTGTGATGGAGAAAGGAAGCCCACATGTCAGAAGATGAGAAAAAAGTCCTGTTGCTTACCAAGAGCAAGGAGCAGGAGCACTGCAAGACCCTTCCCTGGGGTATGCTGTGCCAGGGCCCTGCAGCTGCCTGCTTTTCCCGCCCCTCTTCCCTCCCTTGCACTCTGCTCTTTGTGTCACCTTCCCAGCTGTTCTTCTTCCCCCAGCTCCCCCCTCTGGCTTGGGCAGCATCAGGCAGATTTTTAATCTGAGATATTTTTATTTTAATTTCTGACAGCAGTGAGAGCAGCACTTAGTCTCCTTCACCTATGCTTTCTCTTCCTATTTTTTTCTTTTCCTTTTTTTGTTTTCCTTTTCCTTTTTAAGACTTTCATTCCTTTTTCTTTCTTTTCCTTCCTACCTTCTTTCTGTCTCTCTCTTTGTGTGTGTCTCCCTGCTTTTGGACACCTAAGCCTTTCTCCCTCTCCTTCTCCCTCCTCCCTGATGGAGGGAAGCAGGCAGCTGCTTTGCAGAGCAGGGGAAAGAGCCGGCCAGCAGTGGGGTGAGCTCAGAATCACAGGCTCTACTCTCAGGAGACTCTAGTTGGAAATGGTTGACTTGTTTTCTATGGAAATATTTTTTGGTTAAAAAAATTACCCTTTTCTATACTTTTTTTTTTTTTTTTTTTTTTTTTTTGGCGGGGGGTAGCAGATTGTTGTCTCTGTCAAACATTATGTTTTGTAGATGGAAGAAATAACAAATATGTATAACAAATATGTACTTTCTTTTCTTCCACTTTTTCCACATGGGAAAAAAAGAGAAAGCTCAACAAAAATTACACATTTGAAAAAGTGAAATATCTTCATGGATTATTTTGAAGAAAGTGATTTTTTGTTGTGGTTGCTGAGCAAAAGAAAAAAAAAAAGACAATTTTGATGAATTCTGCTGGTGTTCTGAATAGACAAATATCCTCACTACAGCTATTTCACTGCTACCTTGCAGCAGGGGAAAGTGAGGCGCGGACAGCTTCATGGGTTGGCTCAAAGGCAAGCTGTGAGTCTGTAGGAAAGCAAGGCATTGATCCGGCTTTGCAGGCAGTGCCATACTTGAACGTTTTCCCTGCTGACCATGAATTGCACCCATCTTAGCAGCTCACCACCTCTGCAAAGCCCAAGGGGGCAGAGTAGAACACAATTTTGCTTCCCTCTGAGGATGGGGGAATGGGAGAGGAGCTGGATTAGCCTTGGTAGCCGTGCCTAGTTGCTTTGCAGTTACCTCCTTCCAGTCTAATTTGCACCGTGTTTTTTTCCCTGCTACACACAGTATATTTGCATTTCACCCTCTCTGGCTGTGTTCCACCCCTGCGCCAGTTGCACCCTTGTGCTAAGGGCAGTGGCACCCCGGGTAAGAGCTGTGCACCAAGGATGTTTCTGCAAATGAGAAGGCCAGGGAGGAATTGGAAGGAGAAGATTTAATTGCTGGAGCTCAGGATGTTTTCCAGAGCTTGCAACACAGACTTTCTCAAACATGGGATGCATCAAACCTAATTGCTCTCCAGGCTGACCTGCTCCTTAATTAGAAAGTGTTTTAAAGCCCCATGTCAACTCCCTGCTGATAAAACTGCCTTACAGTATGAAATGAGAACCAGCCGCCCCAGCACCTTGCAGCACTGCTCGGACTGAGGCAGGAGTGCAGGATGCCCGGTCCTTTGCCTGCAGAGAAACCCCAGAGGGCTGTGGCATGGTGGGGTTCAAGGGTGTCACCCCGCCTTCCTTCAGCCCGTTTTGAAACAGCACTGTGTTGGGGTTTCCACAGGATGTATTTGCTTCCCTGGGAATGAAATCCCCTTGATAGAAATCCAAGTTCAGTGGGGACATGAGGGGTTGTGGTGGGTTCAGTCTTGAGGCTGGACAACATGAGAGCAGCAAGGGGCAAGCAGGGGAGATGCTATATGGCTTTCCCTGGCATGGACATGCTACTGCGTCAGCCCTCCAGTCTGAGGTGATCCAAGCTGTAGCATATCCATGGGAGAGAAATAGTCTCCAGTGCAGCCTCCTGCCTCTGAATATGTCCTCCTCCTCTGCCTTTCCCTGGTTGCCCGTTGTCATTTCCTACTTGGCCAGCTCCACAAACATCTTAATTTCATGCCTGCTTGTCAGGGCTGCTTTGTGAAACATCTGAATGACATTAGCACAGTTTAAGAGTGTGACAGACTGAGGAGCAGCAGCCTCCTGTGATCGCCTATTCCAGATGGTTAAGTGACAAATCTCACTTCTGATATCTTAACTAGAGAGGTGCAGGAGGAAAACGTCCCCAGGGAACACCAACCCCCCTCCCCCTACGCCAGCTCTGAGCTTTTGCTGCGACCAGGCAGCGGTTAATCCAGACGGAAGGAGACATGCAGCAGATGCCGTGTTCTTTAGGGACCCTGGAAAGCTTTTCCCCTCCCTCTGACTTGTTGCTGCCTCATCTCGATTACGTGCACAGCCATAAACAGCTCAGGCAGACCCTGTGCTTGTTCCTGCAAGCGTCTTTTGCCCAGTGACTCTTCTCATTAGGGTGATACTCTATCACATTACATTCAAATGATATTTGCAGTCTCATAGGCATGTTTCTGGCCCCAAACCATTGTAGGACATTTTGGGGAAGAAACTCTGCATTCACACTGGTAGTGAAAGACAAGCATTGCCAGGGGAAAGTTTAGAGTCAAAACTTGATGTGCTTGTGTGTGTAAGGAAAATGTAGTCCAGGCTGGTGAAGCCCCTTGCTCAGGGTGACACTGCAAGCTGCTTGCATCTTGGCTGCCTTGCTGAGTGAGTGCAGCTTTGCTTTCCAGTGAAACCTCTCCTGGGACATAGCTAGTTTCTGGACCACTCCTGACATTAGTGTAAGAGTCTCCTACTACTGTTACCTCTGGGGGTGATAGAAATGCATTGTAGGACTAGTGCTGACAGGTTCTAACTCTGCTGACAAGTAAAGCTAGAAGTTCTGGGTCAGCACAGGTGATTTTGTGTGTGTGTGTTTTTATGGCTTGCTATTCTACCTCTTGAAATGCAGCTGACCCCAGCTTGGAGCACAGCAGCTGGTTGGAAGGACAGGACAGAAGGTGGTAGAGCATGAAGTGAAGCAAAATACTGTAAAACTGGGGAGGCCTACTTAATGATCATCTACAGTTGGAGTTTTGTACCTCCTCTGCAGTATAGCAGTGTTACAACCCTTTTAGTGAATAATCTGTATAAAAGGCTTCCTTTTGTCCATGCAATTTAATGGGAGTTTCCCCATCCTGTCTTGGGAGTGGATCCTGAGACAACAGTGTCCTCTATCATGCTGTAGCAGCATATGTATTCTGGGTCTGCAGATCACAGAAAATATAACACACAAGGTAAATACTGAGAGACTATGTCTTTCTATGCTCTCAGTGCTGTTCCCATTGCTATAGTTACAGCCATGTGGGTGTTTGCTTGGTAAATGCCCTTGTCTCCCTTAACTCTCACCTCCCCCCAGCATCTATTCCCAAGCTCAGACACCCCAGGGGCAGAGGCTCACAGAGCCTTTCCTGCCAGCTCACCTGGCTTGCTTGTGTCAATGCCCTGGACAGGGAGTTGAGCAGCTTTGCTAGTGCCCAAACAGGAAAAATTGTCCACCCTCCCTGCCCTGATGCAGCCTACCAGCCCTGAAGCAAGGGCTCCCTGCCTCCCAGAGCAAGAAGCTCAAGTCACTGGCAATAGGTCTGGGAGGCAGGGAGGCAGAAACCTGATAGTTAGATAACTGCTTTTGTAAAATGCTTGGATTTCAATGAAATTGGTTGAAGGTTTCCTGGTGATGCCACATGAATACATTTGGAGTCTGCGCAAGTACTGCTTTCCTCTTGATGAGACATTCGCTTTTGGTGGCGGGTGACCCAATTGGAACCAGTGCTCTGGTCTGTGCTTACACTCAGCTACTGCAGTCCAGAGGCAAGTCTGACTTGCAGACTCCTGAGAAATGCTCACAGGAGGCATCCATCAGCATCCTGGTCCCTGCCTGCCTTCCCTGTATTGTGTTGGAGCACATGTGTTACTTCAGAAATATCTCTTGAGCCTCTTTGAAATAAAAATAAATGGGAATTAGTATATGCTGCTGAAATCCTATCTTCAGCCTTCTGTAGCTGGGAGGCAGAAACAGGGGTTGGATCCAGCTAGGATTACTCCGGATGGTTGAAATAATTCCCAGGCTGGTCCCAGAAGAGTGATAGGCAGAATGAGTGTGGGGGGAACAAACCTCTAAAACTGACCTTGTCAGTGGAGAAATGTTTCAAGTTACACCCTCAAAGAAGAAAGGAGATGTTCAAGGGCTCAAGGAAGGTGACCTAGCCTGATTTAGTTCATCTGGGAGTCTCTGGGTATGAGGAATCACCTGTGCCAGTCTCAGCTGGTACATGGTGTTGCCCATCACCTCCACCCACTGCCTCCCTCTGCAGGGATCCTGGAGGAAAGTGACAGGCAGAGCAAAGTGGAACTGGTGGGACTCGGGAATACAGCAGCAAAGTCCCCAGCCATGAGTAAACTGTGCATTTCTCAGCGCTTTTAATCTCCTTATTATGGTAATGGGCTGATAACTGATTGTGTAGTTAAAATGGAATTTGACACCAGGGCTGCAGTTTCTCTGACTTCAGAGCGATGCTGTAGTAAACAACGTGGTAAAGAGCTATAAGAGCTGATGTTCTGCTTCAAACCTGTGCTAATGGGAATCTGGAGAAGTGCAAGAGAATAAAGGAAACCTGAATTTATGTGGATAGATGCATCAGATGGCCCTTGATAAAGAAAGCATTTCTTGGCCTAGAAAGGGGATGGTAAGAGAAGTCACCCTGGGGGTGGAGATGGAAAGGCATGGAAGATACAGGGGCTATGAGAATAAAAGACTCTGGGGCCAC